CAGTTTGGACGCAATATTTTACGATGGACGAAAAAAGGGTGGACGAAAAAACCCAAGAAAAAGAATTCAGTTGGTTCGAAGATTTGCAACTAGCCTTAGTGTGACCAATCCTGTACATGTCCGGATCAAGTCCGATTTCCTCGAAACATTTCGCAGCGGCCTTCTTTGGATCCGTCTCAGCGGCCATCGCGGCCGGTGCTAAGATCATGTAACTGCACGACCACAATATAAAATCATCATTTTTCAACCGTGTCGTTCGCGTAAAAGATGTCTCTTCGAAGAAAGAAAGAGAAAAGCAAAAAGAAAAAAAAACCAAAAGGAAGAGACGGTGGCCACGAGGTGAAAATTTTTGACAAACTCTCGCGATATCGTCGCGCACGTATATGCTGTCGCAGATATTTGTACAGAAAGAGATCTCGCGATGACGCGTCAGGTAAAATAAAAGAAAAAAGAGTGACAGTTTTCTGGTCTGATCTCTCTGGTCTTGGAGAGTGAAGAAGAGAGACTCGAGTGAAAGAGAACAAGAGAGCAATTCTTACCGTAGTTTGAAGTCAGGGTAAACCATCCTGTTGGGGAATCCTTTACGACAAATACGGATGCCTTCAAGCACACCGTTGCAAGTCAGCTGATGCATGACAAGGTGGGAATCTATGACACCCGGTTGCTTCAACTCGTTGGGGATGATACAACGGACAAAGTGCGGCTGGGTGGCTCTCAAAGTGGTCATCAGGTTGTTCAATTGTTCCTTGTAGGACGATGACACCGTTGAGAAGCCGCCACCCTTTTTACCACGTCCACCTTTGCCACCACCGCCGCCGCCACCGGCATCACCAGACTGTCCAGGATGGTCAGCGAAGATTTCAATCAACAGTTTGTTCGTAGATTTCTTGAATTGATCGACGACCGTGTCGTTCAACGGGTCCTTGTTCTTTTCTAGCCAGCCCGTGATGTTGTATGGCACCTGTTGTTGTTCAAATAATTTTATTTACTTAACGTAACGTAAAATATTCCTCTCTAGTTCTCTAGTTCAATCGTAATACGTTTTACCAATAAAGGGGAGAGATGGATAGAAAGACAGAGAGAGAGAGAGAGAGAGAGAGAGAGAGTTTGGAAAAGATAAAAAGTGAGAAAGTAACGTACGTTTCCGGCATAATGGCCGATAGCGAAGTGGGCCGCTTGCTGGCCTGGTTTCGGCGGTTTCGGTTTCAAGAAGTTAGGGCTCTTGCCAAGATGATTGTTGTTCAGTTTCTCCTCGAAGGTCTTGTCAGTGGCTTTCGGGAACATAGATTCTTCTTCAAGAATCGATAGGATACCCATAGGCTGTATTCAAACGCAATCGTTCGAATTAGTTTACGCACTGTTCTCGACAAAATTTCCGAGAGCAACGCCAAGCAAACTACTGACAAGTTGTTCGTAAAATTCACGTTCAGGAATTATCGTGTGATGGAAATGATACAGCTACTTGTTTCACATATTTATGTCATTTAGTTTTAGACACTAGGCACAAGAATCGCGCAGAATCTAGAATTGACACTTTGACGATAATTCAAAATACTACTTTAAGGTTCACTTTGCGTTGCTCTCGATTATTTTATCTCTCGTATTCCAGCAACGAAATTACATATTTTCAGAAACGTCCTCGCAAATGCTTGGAAACCAAGTTTTTGCAAAGAGTTAACAACAAAGTTAAGATCAAAGTTCAGAAAATAATACGATGGAAGCTGACAGAAGGGGAAATTTTGCAAGTTAACGTTGCAATCTCTTCCATCGAATTATTGTCATCGACCAATCGATTTCACATCGTTAAGCTCGTGTTTTACTCACCGACAGAAACACACGTACACAAACTCACAAGCAACTGCATGCACAGAACAAGAAAACGAAACAAGAAAAGCTCGGAAGCATCAAACAAGACGGATTACCGTTTGGTATCGTTTTCGTCACAGTTCTCGATCAACTCGATTCAATCGTGCGTCCATGTTTTTACCTTTTTTTTTTTTTCACATTCGGCTGGTTCGTCTCCGCAAGTCTCAAAACTAAAAGTCGATCTCGGGTGAAAGAAATTCGCGAGAATGTGTTTTCGTGGCGAGCATGCAAACGAAACTAGGAGAAATTTTCCATATTCGAATCTGATCGCGTGAAATTTGCTCGAAGTTTGTGAAGAACGCGCGTAAGAAGAGATGGAATAATGTGCGCGAGAAAGCTGAATGAAAAAAGGAGTTAGCGTGCAAGATAGAAGGTACAGCGTATGATGGCATTCGCATGCTAACGAGATCTATCTCTGTGTTGACTTTTCTTTCACAGCGACTCGCTGTCGATCAGTTTGAAGCTGTCGACCTCTCTCTCGTTCCTGCTGTTCCATGCGGCCGCCATGTTCGTCGACTAACAATACCTTCTCAAGCAGATCGATCGTTTGCTGCAGATCCATGCCAAAGTCAATGAAAGTCCATTCGATTCCTTCGCGTTTGTATTCTTCTTGTTCCAGAATGAACATGTGGTGATTGAAGAATTGCTGAAGCTTTTCGTTGGTGAAGTTGATGCAGAGTTGCTCGAAGCTGTTGAACTGCTCGAGACCAAGGAGGGGAAAAGCAACGAAACAGAAAACACAGGGTAAGAGACAGCTGTCGTTAACGCTGCTTACGTTTTGCAAAACAAAGGTTTTTGCAAAATGGGGGATTATCATGTCGAAGCTTTCTTTGTCGCTTCATAGATGGAGGACATACAACTTAGGAGGGGATGAGCACGAAACATAAGTTGCACGTTATGCTTTCCTCTGTTTCGCCTGTCTTTCTTGTCTTGTTGGTCTGCTTCGAAGCCCGATATTAGCTTTTTGATTTTTATCTTTATCGAAAATTTCTTTGATTCGAGACAGATTTCCATGGATTCGTCGACTATACAGATTCGAAACAGACCCACAAAGGATCACAGAAGGTGCCAAATGCTCACAAATACATATGACGTGAATGATGTACAGGGACATAAAAGTTTCAAAAGTTATTACGAGGGTTGGTAATAATTATGTACCGCAGTCCGGCTCGAGTTTCGCTTTCAATTAATAAACGTACGCAAAACATACGAGATTCTTTGTTAACGAACAAAGAATTTCTAACATTTTCTCCTCTTCTTTCTTTATCATTAATGTCTACGTGTCAAACTTACTTTGTCACAAGGGATAATACATCAAAATTTTTCTTCTTATCGATATGTATCTTTCTAATTGAATTACTTTTCCTTAGATTGTACTCGATTGTATGATTGCATTGACTTGAAGTTTATTAACAATCGTGAACCGTGCTCTGCTAATTGCAGGTGATTTTAATGAGTATCGAGAGAGAGAGAGAGAGAGGAAGAAATCGTAAACGAACACTGTTGCGAGTGTCGTTGCAAGGGTGGACAAAAACATAGAGAGAGAGAGAGAGAGAGAGAGAGAGA